GCATAATTATTTATGGATAAATTTTAAATGATTTGTTTCACCATGTTAAAGGTAATACTTTGTGGTATAATTGTTAGCCTAAATATTGACATAGTAGGAACAGTATAGAGTAGGGTCACAAGAAATGAACTTTTTTTTTAATTGTGTTAGACTTGTTTTAACTGTTCATGAGAAAGATCTAAGAATAGAAGCAAAGACCTAAATGCTAGGATAGTAATAAACTTATGCTTTGAAAGTTGTTCTTGGGCCAAGTAACATGTTTTGGTTGAGTTTAAAGAAAACAGAGTAGGTAGATAGAAAACTTTTTTTTTTTCAAAAATTTGCTGCTACTAGTAATAATTTTGTTATCAAACTAATTCAATAATATTGTTCAGTTTTCATTTGTGGGTGACAAATATGTTCTTATTAGAATTTGTTTGCTTTTGAGGCAGTAAAAGGTGACTTCAATTTTTGTCAATACACCATTTTTCTGTTTAATGCAAGGCTTTATTGTAGCTTTGGCTTTGTTTGAGGAAATACTATAATTTGATTGTCTCTTAACATGCTTAAAATATGAATACGAATTCAGTCAGACATTTTTTCATCTATGAATCCTGTGGACTTGAAAAATTCAATTCAAAATACTGTCTTTGTGCTTAGAGGAGGGAATGTTATATTTTTATTAGTCACTCACTAACAATGTCAGTATTAAGGAATCCACACACAGCTTCTTGACATTGTGAAACTTGGAATTTTTGGGCTCTGTGTAAAGTTAAATCTTTTGTAATCACTCTTGTATAGAACTTGTACATAAAGGTATTGATAGATACTCTTGCATGTCCATCCATGTTTTGTGTGTGTGTGTATGTATGTATGTAGTGTGTGTGTGTGTGTGTGTATGTGCTATCTTACTTTGAACTTGGACACTTATATTGCAGTTATTATTATAACTTAAAAGATTAAAGTGGTGAAAATATCAGGCTTCTTAGACTTAGTTATATTTGTTATAAATGTTTATGGTTGAACATTTCTGTAATTTTCAAGTTCTAATATAAAATTATTGCAAAGTTAGCTTTCTATATTGATACCTCTTTTTTTTTGTTTTTTATCTTGGGCAAAATTACTATTCAATCAGTTACTAACTTAGGAAAAAATTTGCTCAATGAGATGGTGTATTCGTTAGATATAATTGGTTTAAGCTTAGAAGCTTAGATGAAGATTAATTGTTATACAGAATTTTTTATTATTATTGGTGTATGGGGATGTAAAAAATACCTAGAAAGGTATCTAAATAGGCAACTTAATGTCTGACATGCCTGAGATGATTAAATAAGAGATGGATTTTAAGTAATTTAATTGTTTTTGTTTTAGCACATGTATGAATAAATATGGTCAAAAGTATGACAATAGTACTATATAAAATATTTAGTACGTTAATAAAAATGATAAATTTTTTGATGATAAAAAAAAATATATATATGGCTGTTAAAGTAATTGTATGATCTCTGGGCTATATTTAACATAGATGTTATTTTTTTAATAAGGGAAAACTAATTACCTGAATGGCCTTCATTCACTTCATTTCTTTTGTTATTTTGATCTGGGGCCAGAGACAAAATACTAATACTAGTAGACACGATCTGAGATAGCCTTGTCTTGTTTGATGTTTATACTATACCAAGTTTTTTACTTGCTCTGGCAGTTGTATGTTTTAATTCTCTCTAGTTTTTGTAATTTGTGTTTCATTACTTTATATTTTATCTGTTATCTTCAGTAATTAATCTCTGGCACTGTGTTTGATTTATTATAGGAGCAATATCTTAGCAAATAGAAAATATAAGACATTCTTATTATATATTCTAGCTCATCAATATTGGTAATTTGAGTTTTTAATTGGTATGAAGCTATAGACTTGGTATTTTGACTTCACAAACATCTCATTTGAACCAGTGCTGCATTCAACATGCCATGTGACACACAAAAATTGATGTTTACCTGTGTTTTTTTAATATTTACTTTTAAATTAGCAAATTGAGTTCTATATAGTACTAAAATTTGAATTATAATCTACCGTTTGATACCAAACTTATTGATATAAATTCATGAAATAGTAGTTCAATAAAATTTTGAATGTGAGTCAACAAACGAGATGACATGTCTTTCACCTGTGACCTGTCTTGAAAGGGTTAAGAGGAGATTGGACAATATCAAAGTAATTACTTGCCAGTTAGTCTTCAGTGGTTGGGAATTACTAGTCCAAAAAAAAAGAAATTCAACAAGAGCATTTAGACAAGTTTCAAGTTATCATAGATAGTCAACATGCTTTACAGATGTATGGTCATGACTTACAAATTTGCCAAATTCCTTTTAACATAGGATACTTATTAGAAAGAGTGTAGCTCTTAGGGTAGGAGACTGTGTAAATGGACTGAGAGTTGGTTGGGTGGTAGAATCCAGAATAGTTTGCTATAGATGCAGTAAAAGTACAGCAGATTAGTGTTAGAAGTGGTGTACTTCAGGGTTATGTGTTAGATTCTATGCTATTTCACACTTTTACTGACCAAATTCATAATGGCAAAACCAGTAAATTGGTTAGATATGCAGTTGGTATTAAATTAGTGAGCATTTCAAATTGTACTAAAGATGATGTTTTTTAGAGAGGTTTGCTATTTAATATTAATAAAAGTAAGGTTATGCATGTTCTGTTCAGTTTTGGTCATCTTATTTAAAAGAACATGATGAGTTACTAGAGAAGGTATGGAAAAGAGCCAACACTATGATTCAGGCTTCAGAAGGGGTTATTTTTTATAAATAGGTTAAAGTCTTTTGACCTGTTTTTTTGCTGGAGCTCATAAAGGTCACACTGAATAACTACTTTATTACTGTACTTTTGTTGGTCTTTTTTTTTTTTCATTACATTTTTCGATGTTCTTTTATTATAAATAATATAAAATTTTGTTTATGCTAACAACATAAAAATAAGAACTAATGTTAGTCCTAAAATTAACTAATCTGTTCAGATGAAATATGGAAAAAATAGACCAGAACAAGTGCAAGAAAATAAGTGATCCTTTAGTGATATTTGTGAACCCAAAGATATTCCCAGATGAAGCTAACTTCACTTTATGCATTGTACAACATGTAAACAGAACTAAATACAAATATATATGAAAAAAAACACTTCACAAATAGTTCATATTTACATATATTGTACTAAAAGTACTTTATCAACTTGCCTAATTATGCTTACATACCCCATTCTTGTATTACTTAGTATTTTAATGAAATACCGTATGAAGATATTTTTTCGTTCGTAACT